TCACTGCCGAGTCGTGCGAGACACCCGATGGAGCGAGAATGAGCTTTGCCGCTGATGCCGAACTCAATCTCTCTCAATTTGAAGATTTGAACGGAGAATGAGCTTTCAGTAGCGCTCTTGGGGCTGTTCTTTTGGCGCCAAAATTCTCACCTGTTGAGACGCTTGCTTAGTCTTCTTTATCTTTTTATAAAAAAAAAAACATTTGCTCTTTTCATTGTACTAGGTGAGGATCCGCGCGATGCGCGGGTTATTTTTTTTAATCGTAAAATTTATTTACATTAATATGATAAAAAAATTATATAAATTATTTGTGTGGTGTATAAAAATATATTAATAAAACTTAACTATTGTAAATCATCAATATATTATCTATATAAAGAATACAAAAAGTAAATTTGTAAAAATAAATGAGTGTCATTGTCTATATAAAAAGTAAATGATTCATAATGTGAATAAATGTTTTGAATTTATTAGTGATAGAATAATTTTTGAAATAAAAACTTCTCATCTTGATGTGTACTAAATTTTATAATAATTTATGATATTTTTCTATAAAATGTGGTTAAATTTGATATCTTTTTACTTACAAAATTAAAGAATTATTTTTAAGTTTATTAAAAATAAAATTATTACTTATTTTACCGTTTTAAAAAGTTGATATGGTAAAAATATTAGACAATAATGATAATTTTTTCTTTAAAAAATAATAATAATTTAGAATAGTAAATTATACCATAAAATTTGAATTACTATATTTATATTAAAAATCAATAATTTTAAATTTCTTAAAATTCTTAGTAATTATATATATATATAATCTTAAACAATTAGATTTGTGGTGATTTTTTTAATATTTTAGATTAATAAAAACTATAATTAAAAAAATCAATTTTTTATTGAGACAAAATATTATACGATAAAAATATAATGATTTCTAATAAAATAAATGATTATAAATTATCAATACGTTGTTTCAATAAAATTAGTAATCTTTTAGATATATATATATATATATATATATATATATATAATAATCTCTCAATTATTAAAAAATCATGGACAAAGGAATATTTTCTATGGAATGAATTTTCTTCTCTTATAATTCGTCTATTTAGCTAATGTTAATATGTATTAAAATTGAAAACTATATTTGATACATACATATACATGTGATTAGAATAATATAATTCTAAAAATATTATTGTTTTTTACAATTTATAACAATTTAATAAAATATTATAAAATTGTATCATTTTACTCAACATAAATTATAGAATTTATTTTTAACTTTATTATAAATAAAATTATTATTATTTTTTCTTTTAGAAAAGTTAAGATAATATTAATATGGTGATATTATTAGACAATATTATCATTATTTTCTACAGAAATAACAATCATTTAGATTTTGTTTTTATATAATAGATTCATAAAAATATTGTTTAAAAAATAGATTTTTATACGACAAAATATTATACTATCAAAATAAAGTAAATAATTAAATATTAATACATTCATATTGTTTCACTAAAATTATTAATCCATTTTGTATATCTTTTATGTATTGTCTAAAATGGTAGATCTACATTTTATCAAATCATATGGTGCTATATTTACATATTAAATAAAGGATATGGTTTTCACGTATCTTTTTTTAAAAACAAAATTATAAAATTATTTGGATTTAATAGAAATGATATATATATATATATTCTTTACCTGCTTTGTATGAACACGATGACAATTTTCTCTTGACCAAAATAGAGCTTTTAGAATCCGAGTTTATGATACCAACAACGATGGAAAGTGTTTCTGATAACTTTTAGAAATTAGAAATTCTCATTTCATTTTCACTCAAACACATACAATATATATATATAGATATATATATGCATACATCTACTCACATGAGTAAGATTATATATAATAACATTAACACACAGTCTGCAATAATTTCTATAGCCTTAAATACACGCTGTTATAGAGAGTCAAGTTAGAAACAGACAACAACAATTATAAAAACAAACCGTAAATGTTTATCTAATAAAACTATAACATAAAACTGCAATGCCACAATAACAAAATGCTTTTGCTTCAGTTCTCCATATTTCATCATGTTTTTTAGTCAAATCTCTAACATTCCTCCTTGACTCGAGAACTCATACACATTACAAACTTTAGCTTTCAAGCTTCGACACAAAATTTCTATCTTCACGATAATCCATTTTCTCGAGTGCAACTTTGTCCCATCTCGAGTATCCACTGTGTTTATCGAGTACATCTTTGCCCTTTCTCGAGTACGCAATTTTCGGGTTTACTAATTGAGGCATAAACCCACACCAAACTCACAACAATCTTTTTTCGCTTTCTTTTATTGAAACTTCAACACTGTCTTCATATTCGGAGTATGACAAACTCCTCCTCAATTAAAGTTTTGCTCGATCAGGAATCCCGAATTCTCTTCTCAAGGGAACCCGACAGGCGACAGCAACTGTAACGTTTACTTCGTCTTCAAACTTGATAGACTTTCCCTATATCATCCAACCAGAAAAATCCAACCAGAAAACAGTCACACGAACCCTCTCTTTAACTGTCGACTTCATCGATTTGTGTTCCACAACAAATTGTGCAAACTTTTTCTTTTTCATCACTTTCTGTGTTTATCTTTGTTCCCTTTTTTGTTCCACGCGCCTTCCTTCATGATGGCGCGTCGACCCCGTCCACGTAAATATGCTGGTTAGCGCCACGAGCTCACTTTTTATAATCTGCTCTCCGTGTTTATGTCTTCTATTTTTCCGATGTGGGACTGTTTTTTGAGAGATTTGGGCCGTGGGCCCATATTAGCGGAAGCCCAGTATGGATTTGGGAATATATTTGCATTCTAATTTTTTTTTATAGAAAAGTTCAAATAATTGCGTTAAATTATAGAGAATTGTTCAACCAACGATCGTATGAGTATGTAAATATTACTGATTAAAAATAAACATACATGCATATATATATATACATATATACATATTTAGTTTTTTTCCATTAGTTTTCTAAATTAATATTGATTTTGAATATTTTAACATAATATTTTATTTGTATCAAAATAATTTATTTTGATTTAATATTTTTTTTGGTTTTACAATCAATTATTTTCATTGATCTAGTAATTATTTTTTTGGTTTAACATAATATATGTTTATAATATTTGTATATACACTTATACAAATACAAACACACACACATATACATATACATATAAAAATGAAAAGTAAAAATTAAATAAAAATATATATACATATATACTTACATATATATATATATATATATAAACATCCATTTAAACATGTTTACATATACACATATAAATACATTCATATAAAGACATATATATATATATATTCATAAATATAAATATATACATAATTCATTTATACATACTTAAAACATATATACCCACACAAAATACATCGTTATATATATACATGCATATGCATATATACATACATATCTATATTGTTTTCTTTTCACTTAGTTTTTTAAATACACGTATATCCATATAAACATGTATATATATACACATATATATACATATACATACAAATACATATGAATATATACACACACATACATCTATATATACATATATATTTACATGTATATGTACACATATATACATATATATACATCCAAATACATTCATACACATATATATATATATATAAATGCATATACACATATATACACAGAAATACATCTATACATACATATATACATGCATATACATAAATTAAAATTTAAAATAAAATATTAAAAATATATATATAAAAAATAAATGAGAATATAAAATCCAAACTATTTGTTTTTAATTAGTAATATTTCTATTCATATAAATTCATATAAACATGTATACATACAACATATACATAGACATACATGTATACACAAACACATATGAATTAATGAGTATATGTATATACATATATATATACACACACAAATACATCTATACATATGTATTTACATATAATCATGTATATATATACATACATATATATACATAAATTTAAAATTTAAAATAAAATATTAAAAATACATGCATACATACATACACAAATATATACACGTATGCATGCAAATAAAAAGTAAAAATAGAAATATATAAATATATATACATACATATATATATATATATATACATACAAATATTATACATAAATAATATTCTAACAAACTGTCACCTTGTTTACGCCTGTAATTTTTTCCTATGCTACAATGAATTCAAGCCACCAAAATCAACAAATGTAACATATAAAATACCCAGAATCAAATTCTTAAAAAAAAGATCGTTCGACACATTGTCCATCGCCATGGTCACGGAAGTCGAAGACGATGACATCTCTATTCCAAACTCCAACAAATCACGAAGATAAGCTTAATTAGGGTTCCGACTGGGAATTCCAAGAACCAGAGCAAACCCCAGAAATTCCATAAACTTTTTCCTTTACCCTACGAATACAGTTAGAAAGATAATTAGTTGGAATCAATTCCAAACTCAAAAAAAAAAAAACAGAAAAGGAACCTTTTTATTTCCATCGCTGTCCTTTTTTCTTTCATCAATCATCATAATCTCAGTTCACATGGTGGTTCGGAAGCATTTATTTTTCTTGGAATTTTTTGTGATATTTTTTACATCTCTTTTGGTATGTTATAAAGAGATTGTGAAAAGGTGGTATTTAAGGGGAGTAATAATTACGTGTTCATGAATGATATTAGTTGGCATGACGGTTACTTAAGTGGAAAGGTCTCTATTTAGAAGAAATAGTTGACACGATAGAAGAGAAATAGTTGACGGTTATTTAAGTGGACAAATAATATGTGTAGATATTAATGAACAGAATTGAGAAAAATGCCACATCACATACTTACTGGCTTCACCAAATCTCTTTAAACTTCTTTATTAATATATATAGATAGATTTCAAATTCATATGCGGGCATTTTCGTCATTACCCACCAAAAGCTAGGGTTTTGATCTAAGCTACATAAAAAAGTGGAGAGAGGTAGTTGTGCACTCGCCGTCTTCGTCGCCCCCCTGCCTGCTGTTTTCTGCATCGGTAAATCATCATCCTATTTCATCTCATCTAACTTCTTCCTCAGTCGTTTTGATCCTAAATCGATCCGCTCGTTGCATGTTTAGCCTTAGAGAAAGTAAGAATCTTTCATCCGGTTTATTCTAAAAGATAAACCTAATGCCTCTTTTTCGTGTGTATTCGTGGGAGAAACTATGAGGTTGCGATATGAGAATGTAGAAAGGTGAATCCTTTGATGGGTTCTCGTGATTGTTTCGGTATTCCGACATCAACCCAGATTATGGTTTTCCGGATTTGATGTTGTGACTGTAGTTGCGAATCGTTCGTGTAGTTTTTTGTTAGGGTTCCTCTGTTTTCCTTCTAAATCGTTGTGTAAGGATCTAAAGTGTTGATTTTCCTTCAATTTTTGTAGTCTTTGGAGCTAGTACATTTGGTTCAATTTAATCCCCAAAGATGCAGAACGAAGAGGGTCAGATCACTGAGCTTTACATCCCCAGGAAATGGTATTGCAGTTTCTCCATGATATGTAGTCTGTGTTCTTTTAGTGGCTTTGGTTACTAAGCCTGAGTCTTTGTATCTTTTACCGATCTTGCAGCTCAGCCACAAACAGGCTGATCACCTCGAAGGATCATGCCTCTGTCCAGATCAACATCGGTCATCTTGATTCTGATGGCATCTACACCGGCCAGTTCTCCACCTTTGCTCTCTGCGGTTTCATCCGTGCCCAGGTTTGTGTTATACATACACTCTCCTCTGCTGTACTTTTTCTCTGAAACGATGATTCTTTGAACTGTTGAGCAAACCTGTTGTCGATGATTTCTATCGAACCCACTTGGGTATATTGATTCTTTGAAGACAATCTCCTGAAGATAACAATTCTTGTGTGTGTGATGCCCTGAAACAGTGGATTGATTCTCTTCAACAGTGGTTCATGACATAAGTTGATCGAGTTATATAGGATCAGAGAATCTTGTATGCCTTTGCAATCATCTCGAGTAAGAACGTAATGCGAAACAATGCCTTGCAGGGAGATGCTGACAGTGCTATCGACAGGCTATGGCAGAAGAAGAAGGTCGAAGCCCGTCAACAGTAGGGAGAGGATCTCTCCTATTTATACCATTTATGTCATTTTGTTAAAAGAATTTTTCGTATGAAGAACAAAGTTTTGCCCAATCAGATTTGACATTTTTGGAAGAGTAGATTCCTCTCCTTGTGACATAATGGTTTAAAAGGCTTTTATACGCTTGCATATACAAAGTGTTCATAAGAAGGAAGACGAGGGGAATATATGAATGGGGCAATACGGCATCAAGAATAAGAGCTTTCTTGTTCGTCAAGGCATCTCCTGAGCCACTTATCCCTTTGGAATTTCTTTCCACATTTATTCCTTTATTCCCTTTCAATTGTAATCTCTCTTTTCCAAAAAAGATTTTTTCATTTTCTAAGTCCGTTTATTCCACAAGATATTATTCCATAATCCATACTCCTTTATCTATTATTATTACAAAATTACCCCGCTAATTACGTCTAGTTCAATAAGATGTACTAGTACAAACCGTGCCCATTTATGTCATTTCAGTTAAAAAAAAAACTCACCAATCACATGACACAGCAAGCGTTCAGATTCTGTTCGCTAAGCATCTCAAACGAATCCGACGGCTGAGATTTATACGAGTAAAATTCCGACGGTGGAGATTCGTAGCCAGGATCCACGTACTCGTACGAATAATACGAAGGATACGGCGCCGTATTGTACTCGCCGCCTCTCGAGTGCGCCGTGTTGTAACTCACCGTGTACGCCGTTGGTGGAGGCGCGTAATATGACGGAGGCGGTCCGTACCCTCCGCAATGCTGACGTGGTGGGCTGTGAGCCGTCGGATACGGATGCGGCGGAGCGTGATGATCAGGAGGAGCAGAGTATATTATAGTCTCCGGAGTATCCTGCGGCGGAGCTCCGCCACCTTCGACGGCGGTTACGGCGGTGCTCTTCTTCTTCTTTTTCTTTTTCTTTTTCTTCTTCGGGGGTCCGCCGCCGTCTCCACTGGCCGCCGGAGGTTGACCGCCGGGGACTCCGAAGGTCAGCACTTGTTTGACCTCCTGGTTCGGTTCGCCGTCGTCGGCGTTTCTGGGGTCTCCGTCGTCGTCTTCGTCGGTGCTTTGATCGTCGTCCTCGCTGTCTTTGTCCTTTTTCTTGGACTTTTTGGGTTTTTTGTCTCTTCGGTAATTGTTGTCGGTGTTTTCCGGCCAAAGTTCGGCGTGTCTGCCGGCTTTCATGATCTTCTTGATCAGAATCTCCGGTTCTACGTTTCCTATCACTGTTACTTTTTGTTGCTTCACGTCGATATTCGTTGTGTAAACACCTATAGATACAAAAAAAAAGTCATGTAGTACAGATGGAGAAATTACAGAAGAAATATATACATATACATATACATATATATATACACACCATCTATGTTGGTCAATAATTTCTTGATTTTTCTCTTGCAGCCTTCACAGTGGATAGATACTCTCAATACCCATGTCTGCAAATCCAAAAAAAAAAAAACAAGCATGCCTCAGAAGAAGAAGAAGAAGAAGAAACAAGAAGAAGAAGAATTGCTTACAGTGTATCTGAGAGGTTCAGGGTATTCCTGGTCGGGGACATGTCTGTCTTCTGGTGATGAATCTGGTTTATGGTCCGGAGGTGGTGCAGCCATAGTTGTAATGTGGGGGGTGATGATCATAACATTATTCAAGGATGATTATATCCTAAGGAATATAAATTTTGTGCTCTTATTACATACAAGTCACCGTTACCACCACCACCTCCACCATGTCCCCTTTTTATATGGATCACACTTCTCTTTTTTATTTTAGATTCCCATTTGGAAAAAAAAAAATACCCTTTAACAATTTATCTCAAAACATATCTCTGTTTTTTCAAGGCAAATATTCTCTAACTCTTGTTCATCATACTTATAATAATATTATATTATATTTTAATTTAATATTTCTTGGGATGATGATGTAAAAATGGCCCATTAGTGGAAACAGCCCAATGCTTTAGCTAAAGAAATCTTATTGGGCCCAAATCAACTGGTCTGAGCCCATTATACTCGGATACTGACTGCGGTGACATATTTAATTTGCATTTATTGAGATGCTTTATTTATTTATTTATTGTGCGTCGATTTTTTTTTTACTTATTTCATTTTGTAAGATTTATATATTAGGATTGGATATCTTTGTTTTCGGTTTGGCTATTTTTCAATTTAATTTTTAATGGCGGAAACTATATATTCTTTCATAATGTTTATTAGGTAAATGCAAGTTGACAGTTTCTTGAATTACATATATAGAAAGCATATATAGAAAGCATGTGATATATATAATAGAAAAGGGATCTCATTATTCATTATTCACTATAAAATATTATAATATTTATAGGTAGAAAATAAAATATAGAAATAATATTAAATCTAAATATTACATATTTTTTTTCAATCTTCTCTGTATCTCTTAATAATATAATATGTATGTTGTATGATATAACCGACAACTTATATGTGTGTATATATATATACTTGTATATACTGTCGTTTGTGTGTCGAGAAAAAAAATACGCAAATTCATATATATCTCTATATATATTAAAATCATAAATTATGCGTAATAATCCCTAAATCATGGCTGCATTGGTCTTCTCGAGATTTTTTAACCTTAACCCAATACTTTTAATCACCGGTCTTAAAGTATCATATATTTTTGTATTTTTGGAAAAAATAGAAACTATTAACTTTTTAATTAAACTTTATTACAACGGTCCAATATGAACATCCTCTCCATTCGATAAGTCTATTTCTTAAATTTGACCATTTCATGAAGCACAAATAACGATTTTAGTTTTTTTTTATTGATTTAAATCTGCCTGAAAAAAATAGAGTTTGGAACAGAAGAAGATAGTATGGTATGATAAATAATAATTAGTTTTGTGGAGACATGTCCATATGCGTTTGGTCTCGCACGGGTCAAAGTTGTTGACAGCGACTAATTAATTATACCAAATAAATAAATAAATAAAAATGAATTTAATACACAAAATAATTCTATATATATTCACATATACATCTGCAAGCACATTTTTTTTATAACACGAAAATGATGATGTTCTTATTATTATAATACATGGACATTTTTTTTTTGTATCATTTTCACCTTAGACTGGGATTTTGATTTATTATTTAAAAAACGATATTTATAATTACTGAATTTTCGTCGCCATGGTAGAAGGGATTTCTTACGTCATTTTTATTTAAATTTAATTAACATTGTTTTCTATAATTTTGTTGTCAAAATATCAATCCCAGAGGTTGTCTTTTTTTTTTAGGGAAAAAGGTACATATGATTACGATACGAAGAAAGACACTCATAATCAAAGAATGATAATCTAACTTGCTTATATGATTATGAAATGGACCAATTCGTATTATAACATTAAATTATTACGGAATCGACAACATATATTATAACAAAAGATTCGAATCTTTCAAATATGTCAACATCATATTCATATGTAATAAACCTATGAACATAGCATCCAAAAAAAAATGTAATCTAAAAGTTATTTTTTAAATAGATGTTTTGTCTTTATCTGTTTTATTTTACTTTTATAATTAGTTCAGATCCAATCAATTTGCTTAAAACAAAATCATTCAAAATCTGTTTAAAATTGATCTATATAATATAATTATATATAATCTGACCTGGTTTTTATATATTGTATATCTCAATGGAAAATGATCTTTTATATAATTAGTTGATAGAAATATATATTGGTTAAGAAAAAAAGAAAATATATTGATCTATTTAAAAAAAATTTAGCTATGACAGCATTCGATAAATTAAATTGCTTATGTGTAATTACTGAGTTCGTATTCAGAATCATTTCTTGTTTATTCACCACTTATACAGGTGCCGTATAATTTTATTTTATTTTATAAATCCCCAGAAACTGTTTCATCTTCATAACTCAACTCTCAAAACACAAAAAGCTGATTCTGATAAAAGAGAATGTTACCAAACCCCCCCATGGATAGGGAATATTACTCAAATAACTCACTTGGGTCGCAGCAATTTCAGTGTACACCACCGAAAAAAAAAAAAAATTTTGCGACCTTATTACGACTAATATATAACTAATATACAACCTATTACGACTAACAAACTACTCTTATTTTAGTTGTATATTAGTTATATATTAGTCGTAATAAGGTCGCAAAATTTTTTTTTTTCTGGGTGATGTACCCTGAAATTGCTGCGACCCAAGTGGGTTATTAGGGTTAAAACCCCCATGGATATGCAGTAACAGTGCTGCCCCGAAAGACACATCCAATGTACATTGTAGATGATATGTAATTAATGAAATTACCCAAAATGGCAGTGGATGTAAATGATAAGAGATTAACAGGAGAGTTAATGGCGGAAACCAGTACAACTACAGCTGCATTTAAGACTGAGAAGAGACCATCAAAAAAAAAAAAAAAAAAAAAACTTTGTTTGTTATTTTCTTTAGAGGAATTTTGGGATTTATAGAGGTTGATGATTTGATTTACAGCGAGGGATCCGATAAAGAAAGAGAACAGAGGGAGGGAAGAAATGGGTTGTTTCCGTCGGATCCTTCTCGTGATAATGGTGATGATGATGTCATTACTGTGTTGCAGAGTGAGCCATTTGGGCATTGCCGTTGTCGGCAAAGTCGCCGGAGAAGACGAAGGCGAGAAGAAAGAGCTCCGGATCCTGGAAAAGTTCCGAGCTTTACTCGATTTGATCAAACCCTCTACGTCTCCGCCAAGAAATCGAGCAAAGTCTGATCCTTTATCTCCGTGGCCGGCTCCGGCTCCGTCGCCGTTTCCCGGCGATGGCCCTGGCTCCTCTCCGGCGTATCCGCCGGCTCCTCTCCGGCCAATCCATCATCATTTTCGTCGTCCGTTGCCGCAACCGAACCATCACTGGAGACAGCACGAGAGACAAAGGGTAAAACGAGGAGGAGGAAGATGGAAGAACATCCTTGTACCTGTCCTGGTCGCTACAACTTCAGGAATCGGCTTCGTCGCTTGTGTTGTGGGACTGTTCTGTCTTGGAATGAAGATCAGGAAGAGGAAGTACAGTGGAAAGAAGTCGTTTAAGCGGAAGAAGGGCAAATCTCAGAGCTCTTCGACGAGGAAGGTCAGCGTCAACCCTACTCTGGATTTTCTGTACCTCAACTCAACGGGAGTTGATCTGGAGAGACAGTGCTCTGTTTCTATTAAAGAGACACGAGAAGACGAGAAGGGTTTGAGCTACAACAATGGCGGATTTGTTGAAGGAGAGGTGAAGAACGGAGGAACTGAGATTCTGCCAGAATTATCAGACCACACGAGCAGTTCTTCGGCCAAAGAGATAGTGTCGGTGCATGAAAATGGTGAACGAGTAGTAGACTCTGTTGGTGGTTTTGTCGTATTTCCTCGAGAAAATGACTCCTCAGACGATGAATCCTTCCATTCGTTCCATGCCTCTCAGTCTTCAAGATTGTCAAATGCTTCTGCTGATACTGTTGTTGAATCTTCAGAACATTTTCGTGAACGAGAGCTGGAGATTCAAGAATCATGTCCGAAAGATTCCCAGATCTCCCCTCCTCCACCTCCGCCATTTCCTCGTTTCTCAGGCAGACGGTTTCGCCCTCTCTCTTCTCATAAACCGAGGCCAAATCTTGCATACAATTCACCAGATGTCTTAGAAGAAGTTTCAGATTCTTCCTCGAAGGCAAATCTTCAAACCCTTTACCCGAATCCACCCAAAAAGGCATCTAGCTCTTCATCAAGCACGAATCTGCAGACCCATTTGCCGGATCTTTCTGAAAAAGGTTTTGGATCTTCCTTGAGCACCATTCTGCCATGCCCGCCTCCACCACCACCGCCACCAAGGTCTCTACCTTTGGCGGGAAGCAACAAAACGCCACCACCTCCGCCGCTGTCTCTTGACTTCTCTCAACGTGCGACATTGGGCAAAGACAGAGCTCCATTGCCTAAACTCAAGCCGCTTCATTGGGACAAAGTTAGAGCCACACCAGACCGTAGGATGGTCTGGGATAAACTCAGAACAAGCTCCTTTGAGTAAGTTCAACTACAATTCCCCCCAAAAGGGCTTACACTCCAATTGCATCAAAGATAATTTTAATGAGTGTTGTGTTGGATTGTAAAAGATTCGATGAAGAGATGATGGAGTCGCTATTCGGGCAGAGTTCGACGAAGAACAACGACGAAGAAAAGAGCAAAACTCCGTCACCGGGGAAACATCTTCTGGAGCCCAAGAGACTTCAGAACTTTACCATTCTCTTGAAAGCTTTGAACGCAACCACTGATCAAGTCTGCAGTGCCTTGCTCAAAGGTATATTTACATCTACATATACACACACAACTGTATTCACAGATCTGCAATGAAGAGATAATAGCATCTAATCGTCTCAGTGAAATAAGTTTGGGGTTTGGGTGATGCAGGAGAAGGGTTGAGTTTGCAGCAACTAGAGGCGTTGGTGAAGATAGTGCCGACAAAGGAAGAAGAAAGCAAGCTCTGTAGCTACAGAGGCACCATTGATGAGCTTGGCTCTGCCGAGAGGTTCATTAGAGCCATTCTTGCCGTGCCCTTTTCGTTTCAGAGAGCCGAATCCATGCTTTATAGAGAAACATTCGACGACGAGGTTGTTCATCTCAGAAACTCCTTCTGTATGCTCGAGGTAATGGATTCTTACATCACTCAGAACTGGTTATTAGATCTGTTATCAACTAACTGATGATGTTTGTTGATGGTTAAGGAAGCATGCAAGGAACTGAAGTCGAGCAGGTTGTTCCTGAAGCTTCTAGAGGCAGTCCTCAAGACCGGAAACCGAATGAATGTGGGGACAGTTCGTGGAGGGGCGAAAGCCTTCAAGCTCGATGCCCTTCTCAAGCTCTCTGACGTAAAAGGAACAGACGGGAAGACAACTCTGCTTCACTTCGTCGTCCAAGAGATTTCCCGGTCGGAAGGGATCAGGGTTTCGGACAGCATCATGGGTCGGATCATGAACCAGGGAGCGAACAAGAACAGAACCGAGAAAGAGAAAGACGACGATTACAGACGGATGGGGCTCGAGCTCGTATCCGGACTCAGCATAGAGCTCCAGAACGTGAAGAAAACGGCCACGATCGATCTCGACGTCCTGACGAGCTCAGCGTCGAATCTGAGAGAGGGGCTGTCGAGACTGAGAACTCTTCTGGGGTGTCGGAAGCTGGAGAGGGCGTTCGTGGGGGAGATGAGGCTGTTCTCGAGGGAGGCGGAGAAGAGAATGGAGGAAGTGAGGGAAGAGGAGAAGAGGGTAGTGGAGAGAGCTCGGGAGGTGACCGAGTATTTCCATGGGGAAGTGAAGGGAGATGACAAGAACCCTCTGAGGATATTCGTGATCGTCAGAGATTTTCTGGGGATGTTGGATCTTGTCTGCAGAGAGCTGAGGTGTGTCAGAGTCCCAAGCACTCCTTTCCGATGAATCCAGAAAACGACATGACATAGAGATTTGTTTCTTTGTTCTGTAAGTAGCGAATGAAATATATATACACACACAGATATGTGTATATATATATGTATGTATGAAAATGGATGGGTAATTTTGTGAACAACACTCTCTTATGAAAGACTCTTTTAACAAATGGTTAATAACCGAATAATTCATTTCATCAGACCTTAATCGTATAATACATTGTTATAACTAAACTATTCAATATAAAAATGAAATGAGTTATAATTTCTGTAAAATTGGAAAATCGAATACAATCCGAATAAAAAACTAAAACATAGAATAGAAAACGTCTTTAAAAAAATAGTATTATTTACCAATAAAAAAGAAAACAAAAAATTCATTTAAAAAACAAACATTTTGTCAATAAAAAATAAAATCAAACAAAAAATAGAATCGAACCAAACCAAATCAAATCAAGACCAAAAGGTTATAGTTTTCTGAAAAAGAAATAAACGAATTTGAACGAAAAACCCGATAAGTCGACCCCTAGTTCTTACTATATACGAAATTACGTTTTTTTAATATAAAAAACTATTGTTCTAAAACCGCACCATCTTAAAGGATATTCATCTTTGGATGCATGAATGTTTTTTATTTCTTCATAAAAAAAAATGAATATTTTTTATTTGAACAAGTGCGTAACCTCTCACCACAAAAAACGCAAACCCTAGAGCGGAAGCAAAGAATAATCTCCAAAAAAAAAAAAAAAAAAAAAACCAAGTTGTTGAAAAGGATCCCAAACGAATCCACATCACAGACCCGAGAACTAGAATCATATCAAACCCTAAATCTTACCGCGAAGGGATTGACCTCGTCCTCTTCAAACGGATTAGAGTCGTAGCGAGACATTGAATCGTAACAGCAGATCCAATATAGTCAGATCTGGAAATTCGCGTTGGAAAAAAAAAAAAAAACCCCAAAAAAAAAAAAAAAAAAAAAACCAAGTAAGAAAACATTGCTCATGACAAAAATCCTCATATCCATACATACAATTAACCCTTTTCTCCTCCGACCTAAAACCAGAGACCCACCAATAAGCATGAACATATGCTTAGTAACCCTACTCGTTTCGACAGCAATCGCTGTCTCCGGATCGATGTTCTTCGTATTTTCCCTGACCTCGGCTCGAAACCGCGGTGGGAACGCGACGGCGGCCGACAAGTTGAGAGTGGTGAGCGACGCGTTGGGAGAGGCGGAGGAGAGCTTGAGGAGATCGCAAGAAAGGCATTATACGATACTCAAGGAGATATCTTCTCACTACCTCGTCAGCCAAGACCTTCTCGACGCGCTCTCCTCCTCACGCGCTCTTGTCGACGAGACCGCCCGCTTTGTTTCCGACCTCAGGAGATTGCAGCTTAACGTTTTGATTTCCTTTCCTTGTCACGTTTGATTCGTTTATTTTTTAGATTATTTTTTTCGGTTGATTTATATTATATGCAACAGGCGTATATTAATATGTGTGTGTATATATATATATATATATATATATATATATATAACGTATATCATTCAGATTTTCACGATAAATAACTTTTATATGATGAATGTGGTTAAACGTTTGGTCCCACTAATCCTCTTGAATTTAAATTTAATTGGTATCCAATATTAGTTTTAAATAGGGTTGGCAAAGTTATTTAAAAACCGAATATTAAAATAAAATACCCATTTGCTCAATAAATTATTTGAGAATCCGAATTTACTTTAACCGAATAAATTAAAACCGAACCATTCACTCACTCATGTATTGGCGATTATTACGCAATATATATGTTAACTATATTTAAGTAAATAAAATAACGTAATGGAGCTCTTCATATAGTTTTGTAACTACGATATATAACTACAGTGAGAACTCTTACATTTTTAATGCAATGTTCTAAAATTTTAGTATTATAATTGAATTGAATCCAAATAAATTTAGATTTGGTTATGATCTGATTACAATTTTAATTTGATATAAACGAACTAAACCGAACTATAAAACTGAATCGAATCAATTAAAATGATTATAAATTCTCAAAACTTGAAATAATCAAGTAAACTAAACCCAATCGTTCGCTTTTAAATCTGGTATTGTTTTTTATTATCTGAAAAATATGGCCCAAATGGAAGGTTATTCAAATGTGGGCTTCTTATCAACCTTTTGGGCTGTGATTAAATGATATGGGCTGGGCCTAAACTACGGGGTAAAATGGTAATCTAAAAGCTGATTAAAAATGTAATAAAGTCCAGAGACAATCCAACGGCTCGTATCCGCCCAAATGTTTGCGGCTTCTGTGCACTAACGTATCATCATGCAATGGTAACCGTCCGATCATCAACGTATCGAAATATATGAATGGATAATACCATTATCACCTGAATTGCCAACGTGGCGCGTCTCGTATATTTATATTCATTAGCTCGCACTTTCCATTTGGAATTCCGCCATTGATCACAACAGCCAGATTACGAGAAAAGAGCATTTCAGCATTCAACCATCAAAACGCAGTTTGCTCCGTCGTTTTAGGTCTTCTTGCGGGGGCTTTTCTGCAACAATGGAGTCACCGTCTAAGCCAGCGAGAGGTGCGGGAGGAAGGAGAGGAGGAGACAGGAAGAAGGCGGTTTCACAGTCGATTAAGGCGGGACTCCAGTTTCCGGTGGGTCGTATTGCTCGTTACCTGAAGAAGGGCCGTTATGCTATCCGGTACGGATCCGGAGCTCCGGTTTATCTCGCCGCTGTTCTCGAGTATCTCGCTGCTGAGGTATGATTTATAGATCCGATTCCTTCGATTGATGTGTGTGTATTTGTATTCTGATCGATTTTGAGAAAACAATGCTTTGTGAATCTCGTCCTACCTGGAAATGATATTTGTTATGATTTTCTCCTGGGATTGTTCACACGAGAGATTTATTTGTGTTTATTTTGTCTGATTAGGTCGGATTTGATAGAATGTAATATTTCCTTTTGGACTTTCTCGGCATCCAAACACAATGCATTTTCCTTCCCTCCGATTTTTCGGGATTTTCTACTTCGTTATTTGACCCGAGTTGGTGTCAGTGATGCTAAAACTTTTAATTTGGATTTTCTCGTCAGCCAAACACGTCCTCGCTTCTGATATGTGAACTGGTTTCACGTATTCTGATTAGCTTGCATTTTCACGTCCGGTCTGTAATCTTCTCGGCCTCCAGGTTCTCGAGCTTGCTGGGAACGCAGCGAGGGACAACAAGAAGAACAGGATAAACCCCAGGCACTTGTGCTTGGCCATACGTAATGACGAGGAGTTGGGGAAACTGCTACAAGGGGTAACCATTGCAAGCGGAGGAGTGCTTCCGAATATAAACCCTGTTCTCCTTCCCAAGAGGACTGGTGGCGGCGCCTCTGCTTCTTTGTCTGAATCTGAGAAGTCATCTGCAAAGAAATCTCCCAAAGGAAGCTAAAAGATTCGGAGAGAGAAGAGAAGTGATGTTTCAAAATTGTTGCTTGTGGGTAGTTCGTCGCGGAAGAACAACTTGTTTTTCGTAGTTGCATCGTTCTGTGTTAAGGTTCTTTGTTGTCAACGAAATCTAGTTCGCAGTATGTATAAAGTCCACTGCTCTGTAATGGGATCAAAGATTTCAGGGGGATGTTGCCTTGAAGTTCATTTGGGTAGCACTATATACATATACATGTACGCATACAATCCATGGGGGTATGTCACGAGGGTGGATAGCAGGTAACGCTGGTAATGACATCGTTGCACCTTGAGGAAGAAGAACGTTTCGAAAGTTATTTACCAACAGATGATGAAGATGAAGGGTTGTGCGCTGGTCCTGCTTCCTGCAGCATCATCATCATCATCATCATCATCAGTGCTTTACTTCACTCACCTGGATAGATTTCTAAAGCTTCATCAGAGTTCTCTTCTTCTGGTAAATAAGTGAACGGAAGAAAGGGCAAGAGGCATCCAAATGACCTTATTGGAGTGGTTTGCCTTTGTGCGCTCTCGGGGACAACCCAAGAAAGAATCCCATGTCTCACTCCTCCGTCTGTCGAAATGGAAAAGATGAATAAACACCCCGGCGGAAAAAAAGGGTGTTTGGAAACGCCACGTCATAAAAGCTAACGACGAGTTATTTCTTCATTTTATTATTTATTTTCCTCACATCCGTAATTGTATTTTCTTTTCATAAAATCCATTTACCATGATTATCTTCCTCAAGCCATTTACTGAACCAACCACAATCTTGAACATAAACAAAGTTTTCACAAGGAGAAGGTAAAAGATGGTTAAAAAAAATTATGTCTGTGTAAGAGCGCTTCTCAATGGAACACACACAATCAAATCATGGTATGTGGTCCCCAATGAATTTCTTCCCTAACATGAAACCAACCAAAACTCAGAGAACGTAACATTTTTGGAATGACAAAACTAACACCGACCCACCAAAACAAAAACATTAGAAGAAGAACCATTAAATCACATTAAAAAAAAAAGAGTGGTAGTTTCAAGGGGAATAGTCGAGCCTTTCTGGAGGAGGGGTACCGGCAAGCCAGCCCCAGACGCCACCAGAGCTCTGACGTTTGGCTGCTGCTTCTTGTTCCGATGCCGCCCTTTGACGCTGCATTATCTCCACTTCCTTTCTCAGCGCTTCCATCGCTTGCAGCTTTTGCCTTTGCTCTGCTACCTCCACCTGCCACCCATTCCATACATACATATATATATACATACATGTTCCTTACTCATCAAAGATTACTGATGACATATGATACAAACGCTGAACATTTAATCTTAAGACATCATACCGGGATCTCCTGAACCAGAACATAGCATAAACTATGGTGCAATACCTTGCAAGTTTTTCATGACTTTGGATTTTGGTTCTTATGATTAAAATGAAAGAAGGAAAAGAAGAGGGTTTACCTCTAGTTTGAAACATCTTGATTGCTCCGCTGCAAGTTGCCCACGGACGGACTGAAGTTCCTATATCCAAAATTCGCTTTTCAAATTCAGAGTAATGCTTCTGATAAAAATTCATTAGCAAAAACCAATACCATTCATTTTCATTGCCTTAATTTTTTTTCCCTGCAGAAGAGGATAACCTGTGTTGCCTGCTCAGAGACAACAAAAAAGCAAGAGAGCAGAGACCTGAATATTATTACCTTGTATAAGTCTGTGTTCCGTGACTCTGCTTCTGCTAACTCTTGCTTTAGTTGGACACCCTGTAACTTCTCCTTGTTGAGGGATGCTTCCAGTTCTTCCTTCTCGGATTTCACGGTTGCAAGAATGTCTCCGTTATTAGCTTGAACCTGAGGACTCGGCGCCAACACAAGCAGGGAACAACTGAGAGAAAGACAGGCATAATCCAGATAACGGGAATAATCACTTTCAGTACAGCATTTTATCACATCATTCCACGCAAGTCAAAACAGCTCCATGGCTTTTTTTGGCAGTTTATATAATATTTTAGATGTGGAACAACAAGTAACTTTATCTTCAATGGGCCGGTAAGAAGCCACAATTTACCCGGGAAAAAGGCCAATGATTGTATATTCATGTAATGGGTCTTAAAAAGAAAGGACACCAAGCAAAGACACCTTTGATCCCGGATTAACATTGTCCATGCCAATTTCTCGCACTCTGCCTTCTTGGCTCATCTCGATCTCAGACTCAATGTCTCTGGTTGTGGCATTATGAACAGCAGAAACACTGTCTGGAACAGGAACTTCCATAATCTTCGATTGTAAGGTTGATTTGTGGCTTGGTTTCAAAACATAAACCTAACAGCAAGAAAGATTCAGAAACAGAATCGGAAGACAATAGATTGCAGCTATGAGTTCCAATAGAAGACCATACCTCGTTGTTATAATGTCCATTGTATCCGCCAAAAGTTACAAGTACATCTTCACCATTGTATGAACTCACGACTAAACTCAATCCCTGTTAAGTAGCAAAAAGAATATTCACTCTAAATTCCGAAAGATTGAAAGAAATCACGAGACCTGCTTATCTCAAGGTCATGAAAAGCCTAAAAATATCATGTTTCTAATTCAAAGATGATGAGGCAAAATTTTGATCCGTATGGTGATTAAGAAGAATAAATTTGAAAAGCAATCATTTTTCTACAAGTACCTCACTAGCAAGGGGAACACGCCCTTGGACAGAAGTGACTGTTGACCAAGCCAGAGTAGACATGTTTAGTACAACCGTCTCCGACACCCCTGTAAGAAATTAAATGAAAAGCAGCGCTATGAACCACCACATAGCAAAAGCATGAAAGGAGAGAAAATGAGAGGTAATAAAGAGGATATGAGAAGACGAGTGCATACCACTCTTGTTATCGCCACCACCAACAATAAACCAGCTCTCCCCAATTGTAACACCTGCATGTCCAGCACGAGGAGTTGGTGTCTCACCTTGTTGTGTTGGACTTGACCACTCCATCTATATGTAACAAGTATGTTAGATGTGGAAAAAGCATGTAGTGAACAAGTTGAGATGTGAGAAGCGCAACTTACAGTTTGCAGATCAAGGACATGTAGATCATTGAAACAAGTTGCATGTGAGCCCCCACCAAATATAAGAAGGTAACGCTCTGCATGCACTGCAGTGGCATGATCAGACCTCGGAGATGGAGGTATACCCCTGTAATGTTGACATCATTTTAACTCTGAACTGCCACATAGAAGAGATAGTTGGACGGTTCCCAGAGATCTCTTTGTACTCTGGATATACATATATCAGGGGACAGTTGACCAACTTCAAAAGAGAAAAATGCAGAAATGTCATAAAAACTTACACAGCATCGATCTCATCCCAGGTCAGGGTTTCTAAGTCAAGTACATGCAAATCATTTAAAAGTGTCCTCTTAGCATCCTGTCCGCCAAATATCACCAAACTTTTTCCTACAAGGGTCACTGACTGGCCTCCACGCGAAACCTGCAAGCAAAATAAACCCATATTCGGGGCCACTCCACTAATTGATTTAGGTGTAGAGTATGGTGGTGCACTGAAATTAGGCCCTACGGATAGTCCTTTACGACCTCTTAAACTACTAAATTATATACTCAGTATAGATGTCTACCAACATTGATAAAACAAAATTATATGGAGGATGTTAGGAAAGAAAGCAACTTTTCATTTTTTTTCCTATTGCGCCAGAATTCTTTACATGTTCATTAGTTGCCTGGAACCTTTCATATATAAAGCAGGACAATAGCTTGACAGCATGAGAAAAGAGAAACTATACCGGTGATTTCCCATATGTCTTTAACGTTGACCAGGTAGAGGTTTGCGGATCAAAAACCTTAACTGTGACAAGAAAGCAGAAGAAAAAGTTATATGCATTAGCTGATGTTGCAGAAAGATGCCTAAAAGATATCTGCAAATAATTCTCTTGAAAAGCGTATAAACTCATACCTTGGATGGATTCTGCAGGATCCTTCGTATGGCCACCAACAGACAGAAGCTTGTTATCCCATGGTATCTTCAAAACAAACCAAGAAGGCAATTGACATCAAAACATAGCTAGATTCTTTGTTGGCTACAAACTGATAGTGCAAGCATTTTTATGAAGACATGACTGTACTTTCTTTGACCCAAACTCTGCTCACAAGCCCAAAACAAAAGGAAAACAAAACAAAACAAAACAAAAATGGATGTTCAAATACTAACCAAAGAATGACCAGCACAAGGGGTTAGAGTAACTGGGGACGATGATTCCAGTGGTTCAGTAGCAACCTTGGTTTCAACTCTTGACCAAGTCCAATGTGTCATTCCTAGTGCTGATAGTCCCATTGCTCTGTATTGTGACAACAATATCAGCTGTAACCTTGGTTTCAACTCTCGACCATGTCCAATTTTTCAAATCCAAAACCTACATTTGCCACACCAATCACAGAAAACTTGCTTAGGAACTGTCAACAAGAGGAAGTGGCTCATAACACGTAGAATAAGGCTGGGCTAAGCCAAACAATGCAACTGTGTTCTCTATAGTAGTAAAATAAAATGGGATTTTTCAGTTACATTAGCCAATGTCATACAAAGAATGTTATAATTTGCTTACATGAAGATCACTGAGGTACCGTCCATTGTGGTTTCCACCATATATGTACATCTTATCTCGAATAACTGCCGCGCCATGCTGAAAAAAATATAAAAGAAAAGAATTAGATTAAGAAAAGAGAAACGATACAATGAGACCATTAGTTTATGATTGAAGGAGATAGAAGTTATGTTACCTCATATCTGGCTTTTGGCCGCTGACCAGACGTTTGTGGTGCAATCCATTGATCATATACAGAAACAGTATTTGGGTCTTCTGAGACAACATCTTTATCTTGGGTTTCTGTCAAGTGTCCGTTCTCAGTAGAAATCGTCTTTGTCTCAACAAATGAGGTTCCATTCTCAACAACATGCTCATCTTTAGTGTTCTGTTCCAAAAAAAGAGTTTCAATGAAAGATTGAAGATACTTTTTCGGGCTTAAACCGAGCACGAGAAGTTCCAAAATGCAACAAAAGTATGGTGTCATGCACAACAAATAAAATCAGTGGTTGAACATCTAAGATACTAATGCCACTTTCAGTTGGTCATATGTGTGCTTCTTTCATGAATTTGCCCAATTTTAAATACAAAAATGACATTTACTCCTTATATATGGGCAATTGAAATCTTTGGAGTTAGGCTCCACAACTCACATTGATCTGGTAATCTACAATAGGCTCCATGATGGAGTTAGATGCCCTTGAGTACCAACCAGGATCTTCTTCCTATCAGAAGTGAACAATGGGGAAGAATTTAGCACATGCTCCAATAAAAACAAATGATAAAAAACCCCTCTGCTGATTACCTCCAGAATTTTCACAAAGAGACGCATTGCCTCAATGGAGGGCATGGTTCCAAGCCCCTGCCAACTAACCAAATATGAACAGACTTTAGGATACTAACATATTATGTTTCTCAAGAAAACTCGCAAGGAAAATATCTAATGTTCATTTCTGGGTAACCAGGTCTGAGTTGTAGGATAGTCTTTATATTATGTCATTCTCTGCAATGATCTTAATATGTGATCAAAAGTCTAGACACATATCGGAAGTTTCATAGCTGTTTTATTTCCCCTCGAGGAAGGACATACAAGTCCTCTACACCTAGATTCTCTCAAACATCTACCAAATAGCGCACACTCTGTCTCTGAATCATGAGATATCTCGGTACTTGCATTTTCAACCTACTTTGGACACCGATGAAAAATAAGGCTTCTCCTAATTCTCTACCACAAATCCAAGAATAGGAACCCTCGACAGAAAATGGGCCAGGGGGACATGCATATATAAAGGCAGAACAGATCTTATATGCCGGGACACAGCAGTAAACCAACCTTTTCCATTTGCTTTGCTCTACTGGATTCCACGCACTAGGTTTTGGAACGCTACAGGGCCCAACAGTAGCCTGCACGCATTATAAAACCAAGAATTAGCAATACTTTAACGTGCGAATCTCTTGGATCACAGACTAATGACTTGAATTACACGACTAAATGACTCGTCAATCAATTGGTTGAGAAGCAATTTTCTTTTGGGTAATATAACTCAAAATATCAGCATCCTTGCATCAGAAAATAGTCTACCGCATCATGATCATAACAAAAACCGGCTACAGGAGCGGTTCCTCCTCCATT